TCCTTTTCTCTCTCTTGCTTAGTGTCTCTCTCTCAATCTGTCTCTTTTTCTCAGTCTCATGTTCTCTCTTTCTCTCCCTCTATCTGACCCATCTCTTTCTCTTTACCCATTATCGTCTTCTCTCTCCTTCCATCTCTCTCTTCCCTCTGTCTTGCTTAGTGTCTCTCTCTTTCTCATTCTCTGTTCTCTCTCTTTTTCTCCCTCCCTCTGACCAATCTCTTCCTCTTTACCCACAACTATCTTTACCTTCTCTCTTTCCCTCCCTCCTCCTCTTTCTCCTCGCTCAGTCTGTCTCTCTCTCTCTCACTTAATGTCTCTCTCCCTCTTTTTCTCAGTCTCTCGTTCTCTCTGTCTCCCCCTCCCTCTGACCCATCTCTCCCTCTTTACCCATTACTGTGCTCACCTCTCTCTCTCGCTCAGTCTATCGCTCTCTCCATCTTTACCCATTACTGTCATAGTCTTCTCTCTACCTCCCTCCTTCTCTCTCTCTCTCTCTCTCGCTCAGTCTATCTCTCTCCCCCTCTCTCTTGCTTAGTGTCTCTTTCCCTTTTTCTCATTCCCTCATTCTCTTTCTCTCCCTCCCTCTGACCCATCTCTCCATCTTTACCCATTACTGTCATCGCCTTCTCTCTACCTCTCTCCTTCTCTCTCTCTCCCGCTCAGTCTCTCTCTCTCCCTCTCTCTTGCTTAGTGTCTCTCTTTCCCTTTTTCTCATTCCCTCATTCTCTCCCTCTTACCTCTCTTGCTCAGTCTCTCTCTTTCTTTCTCTCTCTCTCTCGCTTAGTTTCTCTCCCATCCATCCATCCATACATCCATTTTCTTCCACTCCTCCCCCTATCTCTAAGGGAGCGCCCAGTCACCCTTCCCAGTGTCTCTCCCTAATTTTCTCAGTCTCTTGTTCTCTCTCTTTCTCTCCCTCCCTCTGACCCATCTCTCCGTCTTTACCCATAACTGTGTTCACCTCTTTCTCTCTCTCTCTCTCTCGCTCAGTCTATCTCTCTCTCTATTGCTTATTTTCTCTCTCCCTCCGACCCACCTCTACCTCTTTACCCACCTACCTTGCTCCCTCTCTCCCTTTTAACCTTCATTCTTTTTACTCCCCTTTCTCACCCTTTCTTTTGCTTAGTCTCTCTCTCCACTTCTCTCTCTTCACTTCTTTTTTTTCTAATCCCTCTCTTCCCTCTCTCTCCTTCCTTCTCTCTGCTCCCTCTCTTTGCTCTCTCTCCACTTTTCTTTCCATCTATGTCACACACACACCTCTTTCCCCTCTTCTCTCTCCTTCCTTCTCTATCTCTCTATCTCTCTCTACCTCCGACACACACACACACACGTCCCTTCCCTCTTCTCTCTCTCTCTTTTCTTTCTTCTTCTTCTTTCTCTTTCTTCTTAGCGAGTTGTTGACTAAAAACAGAAACTAGAAAAACCTGCTGGATGTGCAGCGTGAGGACCACAGGCTCAAACACGCACGAGTCAAAGTCGAACAAACTCTACAGACCCGCACACACAAGTACAAATACTCCACAGCCCGCTACGGTACTACAGTACTGCACCACAGTATTACAACAGTACTACAATCATACAAGCATATCTGGGGCTTTTCAAAATAAAAGCTTTCATCAATAAATTGTGTCTTTAAAAGGATTTGGGACAAGTTTAGGTTTAGTCCTGACTTTGACCTACTTTTACTACAACTACTACTTTTAAAACCTTTTGACCCATCTGTATACTACTACTACTACTACTACTACTACTTCTGCTATTTTTGCTGCTCCTACTATTACTTCTACTAGTGCTGCTGCTACTTCTGCTACTGCTACTAGTACTACTGAGGGACCTTGGGGATACTGCCTATTTGATGGGCTCCAGTGTTTACTACTACTTAACTTAACACTATGAAGTATGAAGTACATTTATAAACTGTCAGAAAGCCAAAACCTTAGTCAAAACTTAGTCATCTATTACTACTACTACTACTACTACTACTACTACTGCTACTACTACGACCACAAACCAATCGTACTACTACTACAAACTAATACTACTACTACAAACCAATACTACTACTACAACGAACCAATACTATTACTACTACAACAAACCAATACTACTATTACTACAACAACCAATATTACTACTACTAATACTACGATACTACCAATACTACTATTACTACAACAACCAATATTACTACTACTAATACTACGATACTACCAATACTACTATTACTACTACTACTTCCAATACTACTACTACAAACCAATACTACTAGTACTACAACAATCAATATTACTACTACTATTACTACGATACTACCAATACTACTATTACTACTACTAGTTCCAATACTACTACTACAAACCAATACTACTACTACAGTACCTCACTGAATAAGTCCCACACTTCCAATTCAAAATCCAAGTACTTTTTTATAGTCCAATGTTTAATACTACTACCACCACCATTACCACTGACTACTACTACTACTACTACTACTACTACTACTACTACTACTACTACTACTACTAGTAGTACTACTACCACTACAAAAACTACTATTTCCCCAATCCAATACTGCCATGATTGAAGACGTTTTGTATGGTTCAGTGTTTAACACTATTACTACTATTAGTACTACTACTACTACTACTACTACTACTTCCACTACCACCATGACAAAAAGTATGAAAATTAACTTTACTCTAATCATTGAAGATAGTAAAGTTACTGCCAATCCAAAATCCAAGTAAGTCCTGTAGTTTAATGTTTAATACTACTACTACCACCACCACTACTTCTACTACCAAAAGTACTTGCCATTTAATAAGAAAACAAGAACTTTACTATACCTCATTGAAGAAGTCCTATTACTTCCAATCCAAAATCCAAGTTAGTTCTGTAGCCCAATGTTTACTACTACTACTGCTAGTGCTAGTGCGTATAGAGCAGTAGTCGGCTGAGTGCAGTACTGGGAGGCGGAGTGGAGTATTTTGGTATGTCCCACAGTGAGATGGGCGGTGTAAATATAGACAGAGCCCAGAGCAGCTGACTCCACACATTTCTGGTTTAAAGGATGAGCGCCTGAACACCGAAACTCCAAAACACTATCAGCAACAGGAAAAGTTAAAGGACAAATATGACAGCTTTTTGTTTCTGTGATTCTGACTTGGTTTGGTGGGAGAGTACCTGTGGTCAATATTTACAAAAAGTTCTATATAGGAAGTAGCACTGAAAACGTAGTAGACAATGTACACAATTTATTCTCAAGAACGGACTTTTTCTGACTTCTGAGTTTAAACCTTCATTTAACTAAATAAAGGTTCTGTCATTTACTTCCATTGATACTTTGTCTGGGGGTGTTCTACATGTATAACTCTGGTGGAATGTGCAGCAGTTGCCATGGTGACACATTACACACTGTCAAAAAAAAAAAGTCCATAAGACCGTATGAAAACAAAAAAGGATTTAAAGAGCACATTTTCAGGAGCCTGAGATCAGTGCGAGCGTTCATGGTCCTGTTTAGGAGTTTGATTTTCAATCAGACGGTGAGAGACACTAACTGAACAACTGTTGGCTAATGCTAGTGAGCTTGGAACTGGTTTATCAGCACAAATCAGATCAGCTGTTGTAGCTCCAACTAAATCAGATCTTTATGGAGATTGTTAAAACAAAGCTCAGATTAAAGTCTAACTTGAGCAACAGAGCTTCAGACAGAGCAGTGCCTCCAGTTAGCTTCACGCCTCTAGGAAATGCAGTTGGCATCAGCTGCAAAGTATCAATATTTAAAATGGGCATATTTACACTGTCAAAATACAACTTCACTTATGTATATGTGGATGTTTTGACAGGATTTACTATATGGTTTTAAAGTGAAAATGACTAAACTGTATGTTTAGAAAACAGATCACATGTGTGTGGGGTCGTCTGTTGCTAAGGCTAAGTCAGTATATGGTCAAAGTCTGATCTCATCAGGTCTCAGAACCTCAGAGGTCAGGTCTGGTCAGGATTTAGATGGGAGACACTGGGAAAATAAGGTGCCACAGGGAGGTGCCAGTCACAAAAACTCAGGCAAGACACTTCACCCACATTGTCTAGTATGAAAGTGGAGTGTGTGTGAGTGATGGTGGAGGTAGGAGGGACCGATGGCGCAGTTTGGGAGGCTCACTTCTGTCAGTCTGCCCTAGGGCTACAATAATGGCTTACCACCACCGAGTGTGGAGAATGAATAATGCTCTGAAATGCGTGTATCATTTGTTCATTCGTTTTTCAATATAAAACCAAAAATAAGAAAACAAAAAAACAACAGTTTTCTTTGTTATTTGTCTCCAAAACCAAAATTTAAAAAAATGGATAACGATTTGCTTTTTCAGTTTTCGATTTTGTGTTTAAATTTAAAAACAGATAATGGCCGTTTCCCATTTACGTGACTTCCGTGACTGCGATGCCGGATTTTTGCACTGCGTACGGACTGAACTAGGACTGATTCAGGTCCGAGACCAGACCGGGACCAGGGCAGACTTTGTTTTCTTATTTTTGGTTTTATATTGAAAAATGAATGAATGAATGATACACGGATCACTCTGTAAAGCACTTTGGGTGTCTTGAAATTCACTATATAAAGGCAATGATTAATTAATTAATTTGTACTGTGCCTTTAAGAGTTTTAATATAGTTTTAAGCAGATAAACAGATCTCTTGAAAGAGAATGCCCAAGTCATTTTTTGTCAGTCTCAAGTAAGGATTATTCCACTTAGTCACACTTCCAGTCTGAACTGGTTTTCACAGTGACTTACTGTGTAAGTAAACTAAATACTTTTCATTAAATCATATCAACCATTTTCTCTAAACCACATATTAAAGATGATTGTCCAGCACATGGTCTGAGCTCCAGTTTATTATAAAACAAAAACAAAAAGTTAACTAATGATTATTAGATGGTATTAAGTAAGGATTATTCCACTTAGTCACACTTCCAGTCTGAACTGGTTTTCACAGTGACTTACTGTATATTCTGTTGTGCTGTTGACATTGGCTCAGATCAGGGCTGTTTCTGCTGCTGTAGTGGAAGAACGTCACCTGTAGGGGGAGACAAAACATCACACTAGTGTCAAAGGGTGACCATGGTTTAGTCATGGATGAGGCCAGGTATTTCTTTAATCAAACAAAAAGCCTGATAAATGAGTAATATTATAAGACCTTTATGCAAATTGTTACGCTAGTTTTTCTTTTGTTCTAATGTCGTTTTCTTATCACAAATATAGAGTTGTGTTTTGTTTCATTCGCACAAGTTCAACACACAAACCCTGTCTATACCCTGTTCATGTGGTGATAAAGTGCTCCACTGTGTTTTTAAACTCCACACGGCTTCACTAGAATCATTTGGATCATTTCAGCCCTGCAACTGACAATCTCTACTGAAGTTAAAAGTTAGATGTTCACTTGGAAACTACCACTCCGTGACATCACAAGGCGGAACAGAGCATTTTGAGCTTTGGAGACGTAGACAGACTAATAATAAATTCAGTGCTCTGCCTGGAATGTTCCACAGTGTGACATTAAACAGCTCTACTTTACATTTATTCATGTACAGGTAGTTTTAGAGCTCAAAAATACCTAGAAAAACAGACATTCTGCCTGTAAGCAGGGTCGCCTCTCCACAGATCTGACCTGTAACCTGGTCCAGTTTGGTCTCCATGGTGATAGAAAGGTTTAAACCATTATAAGGTTAGGTTAATACCATGAAAAACTGCAGACAAAGCAATAACATCTCCATGGAGAAAAGTGTTTGATGGACGCTCCACCAGAAAAGTTACACAACGCACCTTCAAAGCACCAAATACTAGAACTGTCGAGAAACACAAGTGTAATGCGCACCACAGTTTGAGAACCGTGCCCTGACACACACACACACACACACAGTATAGTTTTACATTAAAGATAACAGCGGTGGTGTATCAGAGCTTGGATCAGATCTGTTAAAGCGAGAGTCACGTTTCCACAACAGTTACACCAAACATTCTATCATTTCTACTCAGTTTGGTGCGATAATACCTGTTGTAAAGATAAATTATTCTTATAAACCAATTCAAGAAGCAGTTTGTGAGGAAAAGCTGAACAATAAGTTGAAAATGAAAAGTAGAGAGTTCTATTTTAGAGCGTCACAGCGATGGGAGAATTCTATCCAAAAGTTTGACACAGTTTCCACTTACAAAACACATTTTTCTGATACTTTACACAATATTTCAACAAAATAAATGTGTTTTCTTACAATGGTATTTGTATTTTCACAAACAGAACTTTGAATACGTTAGCTTTTCCTTTTAAAAATGCCTTGACAAGACTTTGGTTCTGTCATAAACCAAAGAACTAAAATTTCAAAGTGCTCAATAGCATAATTTCTTCACACTGTCTGTGCTGAAATGAAGCAAAGGATCATGGTCTACGTAGTTCCCTCTGCTTTTTTTAGTTGATGCTGCAAGAATTTAAGAAAAGAGACAATATTTCCGTTATTGTTACATCAGTATAAAATAATCGTGCTTGATAGATAACAGTTATGTATTCCCTAGTGTGAGGTCATGATTTTCAAACAAGTAAAAAAAAAACTATAATTTTTGTTTGTAAAATCTTAAATTTAATGACAGGGCTGCACAATTTTGTAAAAAGAAAGAAAAAAGATCGTAATATTTGAATTATATTTGAGATAAACGTTTAAACAGTATGATTTCATGAACACACTAAACAACTCCAGGAGTGTTCACGTTTGAGAGAAGGTTCAACTATGAACTCAAAGTACAAGTACAAAAGAATTCGATGCATTTCAGGACAGCAGGTAAAACAAGAGAAGTCACTACAACTACAAAATAAACTAAAAGATGCCTCACACTACAGGAAAATTTGACCGATTTTGGCTGTGATCAGTGTGACTCTGAGCTGCTCTGTCAGATCGTAACCACCAAACATCAGTAACGCTTCGGTAACAGCCAATAAAACAAAACGTCAGGGGTAGAGGAGTGATGGACACGCAGATGCAAGATACAAGCTCAGGAAACAGCAAAAATAATGAGAAGACTTTAAAGTGCAGCATCTCATCCACATTATCCATAGAAATTGTCCTCCGCACATAATGACATCCAGTCCATAAAACCGCGCTGTGAATCCAGTTTGTGTCGTTCTTTAAAAGTAAAAAGGTGAGAGTAGTTCCTCACGTGTGTATGTTTACATCCACACAGCGCACGGATTGAAGTAAAGCTGCAAATTAGTGATAGTGACTCTACTTCCTGTGGACTTTATCGCCAATCTTTTATGCTTTAAAAATCATGTATCTGAAGTATTGCACCACATTTCACAAATAATAATCACACAGTTTTCACTTTGACTTACTACAAGTGCAGAGCTCTGATCTTTGAACATTTAAAGAGTCTCAGAGGGACCGGTTTTACAGGACAGGAAACGGCAGACGTGAGGCACGTTCACAACTTTATAACCTGTGATCTGTAGACTGCAGTCTTTGCAATCAGAGATTTTAAGCTTCATAAGATTCTCCTTGCGCCTGTGGTGAGCACTTATTGATGCTTGTTTAGATTTCACCCTTCTATGTTGCGTTTAGGCCTCGTTCAGGTAATCGATAAATCAATTCATCGCACAATAATGGAAGTCAGTAAAAAATGGAAATCAGTTAAAAAAAATCTAATAAATTTAAGGGCAATTTTGTTTTCTTTTGAGACTTTGTAATCCATTTATTTATTGTTTTGGTTCAGTTTGGTTCAACAATGGTTTATTCAAGTGCAATTTTGTTAACAAGCCTTGGATGTGAGCCAGACTACATTAGGCTATTATTATGTGAACAAGTCTATTTTATTTAGGCCTGTTGTTTTTGATTGTCTTGCAGTTCCTGTGTTAAATGTTCCTTTAGAAAGTCATGGTTATTGATCTTTGAAAGGGCGTATTTGCATTTTTATTCCATTGGCATTATATTAGTTGAAAATGGTCTCAAAATCTTTCTCTTAAAATGTCTTACTCCAAAGAACTCAGATTTAAAAGTGTTAGAACTGTTATTTCTTCATGTAGTGTGCACTGAAATGGAACAAAGGATCATGGTCTATATAGTTCCCTCTGTTTTTTTTTTTAGGTATTGTCAGACCAAAACTCTTAATTTAAGCAAAGAGACTTGTAATTCGATATATTGTGATGGTTCACGATATTATTGTGAGACCTTTTGATGATACAATATCTTGACATTTGGGTTATAGTTACATCCCTATTGTAAAATGTCACGAAAATGAATCTGGGACAAAGTTACAAATATTTTCTGTGCTTCAAAAAGATTTCAGTTTCGGGTTATGGACGTCTAAACTACACTGTGAATAAACTTTATACATAATTATAGCCCACATTGAGAAAGTGTGTGTGCGCCCTAGTTTTCAGTGGTACCAGCGATACTTTTCCTGTTTTTATACTCCCTGGATGAGTCAAAACAGAATAATAAAGGTCATATATTCCTTTAGATTAGCCTGAGACAAAGTTGTGCGTGTCCTTCAAATGCAGGCGAAGGTTCCGTGGTGTTTAAGTACTTTTTCTAAAATAGTAATAGGCTGTGAGAGGCTGCGCACAGTTCCCTTTTAATCAGAGCTATAGTTGTACACAGCACTCAGCCCTACTCTAAATGAAGTGTTGATTTTTTTTTTTTAAAGGGCCCATGTTATGCTATTTTCTGATCTCTGTTATAAAGTAATTTCCTCATCAAAAACATAGGCCTACCTGGAGTTCTCTTTTGCTTCATTCACACATGTTCAACACACAAACCTGCATATTTAGGCTCAGTTCTTGTCTCTAAAAACACAGTGGAGCGTGGAGTGTTTTGTGTTTAACTCCATACACCTTCCCAAGAATGATTTGGAGTGTTCGAATTGTCCATTTCTACTGAACAAAAGGTAAACGGTAGCTGTTAGTTCTATCTTGCGATTTCATGCAATAATACTTTTTGAATTGACATTTTGAGCTTTGGATATATAGACAGACTAATAATAGTTACTCAAATAAAACACTGTGTATGTTTTTTAGGTTTATGTATGTATGCGTGTATATGCGTGTATGCGTGTATGTATGCGTGTGTGTATGTATGTAAATGGTAAATGTCACATTTTTCTATAGCGCTTTTCCACCTTCAAGGCACTCAAAGCGCTTTACAACAAGGAACCACTCACCCATTCACACACACACTGTGGGCAAGGTGGGTTAAGTGTCTTGCCCAAGGACACAACGAGAGCATTCATCTGTGGGAGCTGGAATCACACCAGCCAACCTGTGGGTGAGTGGATCTGACCGCTCAACCTGTGATGTCTTATGTCGAGAGCTGGATTCGAACCACCAACCTTCATATCAGTGGGCGAATGCTCTACTAACTGAGCTACTAAAATGTATGTATTTGTGTACGTGTGTGTGTGTATGTACATATGTATGTATGTAAGTATGCATGTATGTATGTGTGTACGTGTGTGTATGTACGTATGTACGAATGTATGCATGTACGTATGTATGTACGTATGTATGTACGTACGTATGTATGTATGTATGTATGTGTGTATTTATGCAATGCATATGACAGGTAAGCACTCGAAAAGTGTTAGAAAAAAAAAAAAAAAAAAACGTGTTAACCACATGAACCTTCATCCTCCTCGTCTTGAACACCAGGTTCCAAATATGTTCATGTACATATGCTTGTTCTTTGTTACTGGTGTACCTTGCTCAAACAAATAAAATGAATTCATTGGGGGGGAAAAAAAAAAAAAAAGTTAAATAGGCTTACAGAAGTCTAATTTCCATTTTGAAACCCATTCAAAGTGTGCAGCTCTGCTGTTGTCATAGATGGCCACAGTGCTGTGTTGGAGTGGATATTACAGCCAGTATTGTTGTGGGAAAAAGAGAAGCAGACTGAGCACAGCAGGTGTTGGACCACAAGGGGCTTTCCTCTCTCTACACTCCAGGAAACACAAGTGCACAAAGCTCCACGTCTCAAACACAGCCTCCCACACGCACCAAACTTCCGAACTCGAACCGGGGCTCACAGGCTTGGCTTA